TTATTCAGAAAAGGGCCACAAAAAAAAGAATGTGGGGAAAAAAGTGAAAAGCGTGAAGTCATTATAATGGAAATAACATCAACGGAGAGAGGAGATAAGAAAAACTAACCATTCATTTATTCTTCCAGTATCGGCTTCACCTCGAAATGTCAAGGTTAACGTACTTAAGATCTTCTTGGACTTGTTGGTCTCAATCTCAAAACAAAAGAAAAGAATGTATGTACAAGTATTCAAACCACACATTTTGGAGGGGGGGGGGCGAGGGGGCTGTTTAGACTATTTGGCACTGTCAAAATATGCTTATATTGTTGGTACGGGACTCGGAGGAATAAAAAATAGTTTCAGCTACTATTTTTTTTTCTCTAAGAGACTGTAGAGTAAAATCAGTTAAACACCATCTTACTGCTTGATCTTGCCGTTAGAAAAAAGATGTCACTGAAGTGTTCATATATAACTATACCTTCTTGAAACTAATTCTAATGGAGTGATTCGACGATAGAAGCATTAATTTTAAAAAATAAGAGTATTACTATCTTTTTCAATATCTGTTAGCATTCTGTTATAACAAACCCTTTTATCTCTTCAAACAATCGCAATGTAAGAACTAGAGAACGTATCCAATAGTCTATCAGTCATCTTTCCCATGTGTCATACCGAATGTTGCCTTGGGGAGTAAGGAGGAAGGGGGCTGAACAGCGGTTTTGTTTTTGGTATTGTTTTCTTTGTTTTGTTTTGTTTTGGTGCGAGAGTGTGAGGCTGGAGTTAATCAGGCCAGCTAGGGAATCTCACGCGTCAGGGAAAGTTATAACTCCGATCACTTTTCGGTTGAATGTATTGAATCTAGTTTTTGTTGTTGTTATTGTTTATTTTGTTAGGTTTTGGTCTTGCCCAACAAAAATATATGCATTTTATATGAGTCCTGCTTTTGTGTGCAGCCTAAAAAAGAAGAGACCTGTGTGTGTGTGGGGGGGGGGGGTCGCTGTTCTCTCCTTTCTTGACGAATCATATGATTTTTCACGTGTTTTTAAGAGTTGAGATTATTGCTTAGGCGTGCTGTATCTTGCCTACCTTTCTTGTGGTGTTTGTAAATCTTTTCGTTGTTGTTGTTTGGGTTGTGTTCAAAATTAATTGCCCCCTTTTGCCCTTTTAATCTGATGGGGGCTTCCGTTTCACTCAAACTCAAACGCACATTCGAATGGAGACTCCTTTATTTTCTTTTTATCAACATTGCAAGCTTGTTCTGTGCCCATGGGCTTGTGAATAATAACAATAAAAATAACACTATGTCAACCAGAAGGGGTAGAATTACAGATAATCAGGAAGTTTAGACCAGCCAGTTTGCTTTGCAGATAGATATGACCTCACACCCTTACACACACACACACACACACACACACACACACACACACACACACACACACACACACACACACACACACCACACACACACACGCGCGCGCGCACACACACACACAGACAAAGACAGGGAGAGAGAGACAGACAGAGACAGAGACAGAGACAGAGACAGAGAGAGAGGGAGGGAGGGAGAGAGAGAGAGAGAGAGAGAGAGAGAGAGAGAGAGAGAGAGAGAGAGAGAGAGAGAGAGAGAGAGAGAGAGAGTGATTAAAGCCAAGATAAGATTGAACTTGATGATTATCTGTTCTGCAATCTTTGACACAAGTTGTGCAGGTGTTTTTTTAACCTGAGTTGAGTAGGATTTTTAGGCGTGGAGTCATTGTTGCAATCATAATACTATTATTTCCGCTACCAATGTGAGCTTTTAAAAAATATCTTAAATAATGAAGAAAATTCCTTTTACAAAATGTCCACGTTTCAAGTTTCAGTTAGTTTGAACTTGGTAATTGAACAGGGGAGAATGAAAAATCTCTTTTTAAATATGTCTGCATTTAAAGTCTCATTTTATCTGGCCTCCTAATTAAACAGGGAGAACTGTAAATGTATTATTGGATAGTGTTTTGTCTTGTAGTATTTGTCCGTTTAAATTTCAATGTGCGTCAAGCCAAAGAGGTTATAATAGTACTAGAGGTCGCAGCTGTGATGTCACCCACGTAAACTCACAACGGCTGTGCGGACCCACTCAGCTCGCTTTTTCGCCATTTTTTAGAGGATTAGAAACAGCGCTGTCACACTGCGTGTCCCTCGCAACGCCTAGGTCTTCATAGAGTTTGAAGCTCAGTCCAGTTTTATTTCAAGTTTTCTTTTAGTTTGCTGCTGTTATTTAATCATGTAACATACACGCATACACAATACCGCACCTGCTGACTGATTGTGGGAAACATAAATGCACTTAAATGTGGGCTACAAATGAACAGAGAGATATAATATAAGATATTGTTTGTTTTTTCCTGGTGGGATGGGAGATGAGCAGAGGGAGACAAAGTGAGTAATTGAGGGTTTTTTAAAAGAAAAAGGACAATTTCATACTAACAAAATGGATTGCTATTATGTCATGGTGTCTACACTCTCCTTCTACTGAGGCAAAGTCTAGTTCTTTTTAGAGTATGAAGGAGGTTAAGACTGGGTTAATTATTTAATATTTTAATTCGATGTTGTCTCAAAATGAGCAATTAATTGTAGGCTGGGATGCTGTAAATCACACAATGTATGGATCCTGTGCGCACACTCAAAGAGTGTTTTTTTAACATCGGGCACAAATAATTATATATTCACAACATTTTAAAATGCAACAATTACATAAATAGCTCGTTTATCTTAAATGTTCTCAATATTTCTTTTAATTGGCGTTGATTGACAATGGTGTTTGGCTACACAACACCCCACCTTCCAGGAATCCCTGCTGCTGCTATTGCACAAATGACATGCTGTTTGGTATCGTATGCCTACTGTATGCTTCCACGGAAGCCGAGAATGTATCTGAGTATTCTCAGGGGATCTGCTGGGGTAATAATAGTTGTAAAGCGCATAGAGCGTGCTCTTGAGCATGGATATGCGCTATATAAATGCTATTATTATTATTATTATTATTATTATTATTATTATTATTATTATTATTATTATTATTATTATTATTATTATTATCGGTTCCGCAAATGAGAATGAATATTACGCCGGTCTAATTGGTGAGTAGTTACGCCTGGTTGGCCACTTTATATTCTCTCATCTCAGCAACATTGACCGTGGTTCTTTTCCGTTCACCCAGCCTTGAAGGTTTTCTAGAGTTGCAGCTGAAGCTTCTGGCAGCTTCTCAGTCACATTCATGATTCCAGAGGGCCGACACGAGCGCCTTTTTGCGGTCAGCGGTACTAAATCTAGACATACTGTTTGAGCGACGCTCAGCAAAAGATTTCAATAAAATTATGTGGTTTTTTTATTTTTTGAAGTGATCATGAAGTCCGTCTCATTCATTTTCTCTTAATCTTACTCACCCATAAAATGGTCTCACTATGGAAAAGGCCTTATTTGCATTAATTGGAGATTATCTGGCCTATTTAAAAATAAACAATCACAAAAATCCCTATTAGTACATTTTAGCGATAGGCAAATCACTTGAAAAGAAATCAACATTTAAAAAATTTATAGAGCATCTTTAATCCGTGATTGAAAAGTGTTGCTGTGAACAGACTGGCCTTCTATTCCTCTCCGGAATGGCGGCGCTCCCATCAAGTTTGACACTCTTGACGTCACAGCTAAGTCCTCTAGTTCTATTTATAACCTCTTTAGCGTTAAGCAGTTTTTTTACGAAATTTTTCAAGCAAAGTGTACCCATCATGTGGCGCATGTACCTTGCTTTTGGCGCTAATAGAAAAATCGATGTGACCAGTCGTTACTGTGCCGTGCTGTTGCTCGGAGATTTCACCAGGCTTTTGCGAGTATGTTGGGCGGTTGTCCCGGTGTTGTTTAATTATTTTGTTTTAACACAAATGGTCAATTGTTTTTGAGAGAATACACTGACTTGTTTGCAATTTGATTGCACGCGAGTCATTGTCTGTACGCGCAAACGTTTTTTTTAGGTGGGGGGGGGGGGGGGTGTTCTGGGTCTCAACGGGCGCTATATTAATGTGAGATTGATCATGATAACTGATTTTATTTTGATAGGAAAGTTGAATGTTGCCCCCCCCCCCCCCCCCGATTTTCTCCCATAATTAGACAAAAAAGATATATACCTGTGTGGCTTCCTTACCCCTTGAACTTGAACGACGACGGAATGTCACATGAGGTACAAAAAGCCTGGAATATGGTATCTCTCTGATGTTAGCGTCAGGATATTAGTATGTTTTTTTGTGAACAGAGAGGGCGAAGAATGGAGCGAGTCTGATCCAGGCAAAGTCTATATTCATTTCTTACATCATTGGTCAATTTTTATTTTTGATGAACTACAATGGGCTTTCACTATCTGCTTGTTAAAATCACACACAAAAAAGTATCTGCCCCTGTTATCAGTGGAACTTTGTTTCTCAAATAGAAGTTCTTTCTGAGCATTCTTTGCTCCAATTCTAATGTGTAAACAAAAAAAGGCTCTCCCTAAAAATTAGTGTCACACACGAAATAACATAGGTAACGCATCAGGTATTTTAGAATGTTTGGGGGGTTTTCAGTATGTCAAATAGAAGAGTGGTTCATTTCATCATCAGATAGAGACTCATAGCTGATGGTTCTGAGCTGTGGTGTAAAAAACCTAAGGTTTGGTTATTCACATTTACATATTTTTTTAATTAGCTTGCATCAGAGAGCGCACGAATCCTTTACGTCCACAGCAGAGAACGTTTGTTTCTGGCGGTAGCCATCCCCTGTCTAGGGCTTGTGAATTCTATGGCGCCTAGCGTTGTCAACAACCTCTTTTCCCACACCTATTCTTCTCTTATTATCATGTGTATATTACGTATTTTGTATGTTCCATGCTGCTCACTTTTTTAAAAAGGCTTTTGTTATTAATTTCAAAGAAATTCATTTAGTTTTTGTCGGACGCCTTCGAGCGGCCGTGCATGAGACTGACAATGGCTATTTCCCGCGCTTTCCAGACGCCTCCACCCTTGGACACCGAGATGAAGCGGAGGAGTAAAGAAGTGGACGCTGAGCTCACGTCCTTCCTCCCTGCTGAAAGTAAGTAGTTGTTGTTACATACATACAACCATCACATGACTATGGTTTTGTTCACAGAATGATCTGAACTTTGAACTCATGAGGAGGTATAGTATAGAGAAACAAAATGTGTCCCTGCTTTGTTCTGTCTGAGTCTCCCACGGCCGGCTGTGCAGAAGTGTGTATATATGTATATAAATGTGTGTGTGAGTGTGTGTGTGTGTGTGTTCTGAGTGTATGTGTGTGTGTTTGTATGTGTGTTTTGTGTGTGTGAGTGAGTGTGCGTTCGTATGTGTGTGTGTGTGTGTGTGTGTGTGTGTGTGTGTGTGTGTGTGTGTGTGTGTGTGTGCGTGTGTATGTTCAGTGTGTATGTTTGTGTTGGTGTGTGTTTGCAGGTGTGAATACATGTTTGTGCATGTGGGTGTGCTTGTCTGTGCGCTTTATGAAACTGTTGATCATTTTGTCTTTCAAAAACATGTTTATTGATCATTTCAAGTCACCGTGTAGCTTCTCCAGTGCCGCTGAGAAGTTACACTTGGGATAGTTACTCTTTTCTATTAGACTAAACTTATGACACTAAGTTCTAGCTTGCATATAAATTTTATTTGAAGCAGTATAGAAACTCGAAATATTATCCTGATTCGATGCAGTTAAAGTTTCATCAGGGGATTTCCCCTCAAACTGAAAATGGATGGTGTTGTTTTCTGCAGAAGTAATAGTATCCAAAGTAATGAGATTGGACGAGTGCCTTTCAAAATATATTATTATTCCATTTGGTGGTGCATTCCTGTGTGTATGTGCGTGTATTTCTAGGGATATCTGCGTGCTTTGCTCGCGTGCCGCTCTTATTTATCTGTTTAGCACCTTGCCTTACGTTGAAGCGCATGTCGACTCCGGGGGTTGAGCCAGCGGTGGGAGGAGAGCTCACTGTGTGAATAATTTAGGAGGAGGGAACGCCTGATGCCGAAAAGTGATGAAAGAGAGGTGATGGAATAACAGGACGTGTTTGTGTGAGTGCATGTTTTCAGAGAGATTGTTTAAAAATGTGAGTCGGTGTGTTTGTGTGTGCATTGTGTGTGTGTGTGAGTGAATGTACACTGTTATTATATAATATATAGCTGTGACCATTTCATCTTAGCCTGACGGTGGTTTGGCTGTAGACGCAGTCTGTGTGTAGGCGTCCTAGCTTCACTCTTGAGTTCCCACAGCCTGCAACGAACAGTATGCCGGCTGACGAGTAAAAGTTCTGGAAATTATCTTGCAGTTCGAGCAGCTGTCCTGAAATTATTTCTCAGGTGCACTGTCCTGATATATCGGTCTTTAAATGGCATTGTTACGCTTTGATGGTCAGCTCTGGTTCGGGTTTGAATAGACCCAGTCACAACGTGCCGTCGTCACAGTTGCGAGATTGTCTTCTGCTGACGTTGATGAACGTCGTGGCACCAGCAGCGCGCTAAGATGCCTATAGCTTGACTTTTCTGATCTTTAGCTAAATGTACCATTTCTCTTGGGGGACATTGATCAATAGTTGATGCGGTTCTAAGTAAAAGCTGACTTAAGTTCCCCAAAAAATTTTAAAATAAAAAAATCTGCCCTGTGATCGGGGGAAAAAAATTCGAATTTTCTCGTTCTTTTCACATTGGTGCCGTGAACATTAACTGAAGCACTCGAATGTTTTTTTTTATAACGTTCCCTACTTTTCAGAGTGTTTAGTACTATTCACTTGAAAGATAAAGCGTAAAGACTCTAAAGTTTAGATTTTATACTTAATCGAAAAGTGGTACGTGTATCTTTCTTTTGATCACCAGTTATACATATATATATATATACATATATATATATATATATATATATATATATATATATATATATATATATATATATACATATATATGTGGGGGGGTGTGGGGGTGTGGGGGTGTGTATGTGTGTGTGTGTGTGTGTGTGTGACACACACACACACACACACACACACACACACACACACACACACACACACATATGCACATACAAGGAGAGTGGGCATATATAACTGCAGCAGACATCATCATTATCCAAGGATGTGTCGTGAGTAGTCTGGCGCCATTGGCCTCCATTAAATCCCGATCAGTGATCCCTGGCAGCAGGTTCTTCGTCCTTCTGAGTTCATTTCTTGCCGGTCAGACTGACCAATAGTTTCTCTTTTCCATAAATAATGCTTTCGTTTAAAAATGTCCCATCACAGTTGTCTCTGTATGATGTGCTACCGCTTCCTTCTGAGATGCAGATTTTCTAGGTAGTTGTGAAAGGGGGATGTCTAGGGAGAAGCAGAGAGGAACCTGAAGTCTGAAGAGAAAAATGGGTCAAAAGTTCAATTTTATATCGTGCACTTTTTAAAAACTACAGATGAGAAGCAACGAATTTTATATAATGACAAAGCTGAAACGCAAGGACAACGTATGTTTCAAATATTCAGCTATGGTGATTTGGAGCTTTCTAAAGTTTTAATTTAAGAAGAAAAAGCACACAGAACACAAAAGTCATCTCTTTCTCCAAGCAGACAGAAAGACTAAAACAGCTACTAAACCTACACAGCTGGTGCCTCTGAAGACTGGGTGAGCAGAAAGGACAATCCCTGAAGGTTACAGAGAACCATTTTACATCCACTATTTTATTCAGTTACATGCCGTCTGGCCTTCATGGGAGAACAATAGTTAGACGTACATGACATTAATGCTTTATAACGTTACGTACATCAATAAATTTCATGAAGTCTAGTTATAGAGTTGTTCTTGTTAAAAACAGATTTGAAGGAACTAGGGCAGCATGCCTGAAAACTGCCAGAACAATGATAATCATTTGTGCACAAAGGGCTCACTGAACCCAGAATTCCCATCGGGAGAGGAAGAAAAGAGAGGGCACAAGCAACAGATCACTATCATTGTCTCCTTTTCCCTGTGTAATGCAACCCTCTCAGCAAGTTCCCATCCGACCTCTATCCACCCCCATGGCACCAGTCTCACTCGTACGACAAGGAATCCCCCGGGAGTGGCAGCGCGCGGCGACTAATTGCTCGCGCCATTTCCGTTTTGTCTCTCTCGTGCCAGTGAAAAAGATGCCAGGACGTGCAGTCAGTTGAATTGGGAAATCATTCATTTTCTATTGAACCGGATTTTTGTTTCATCCATTTCTTGTTGACCTGGCATGAATGCAGTCCAGCTCAAAGTTGTTAAAAGAAAAATAGATTCAAGTCCACCATAGATCTTGTATGGAGAACATTAATAGTTTAGAAGTTCTACTTTACAACTAAATTGGGTACAATTATTTGGCTGTAGGATATGTGCACAGAACACTCAAGTGGCTCATTTCCATCCCTCTTCCCCTCTCACCCTAAAGCCATTCGTGAGACTGTGCTGAAGACCATAAATTTCGTAAAATAGGTTATTGATCTGGACCACGAACTCATGAACCAGTGATCCTTTTTGGACGAATTAACCGGTTAATCGGTTGTACGGCTCGAACTGCGCCAACTCTAGCACTCAGTCTGAGACTGAGAGACAAGAGGAGAACGGATCCGTGTCCCAGTGTACGCGTGTGGTTGATCTGGCTATCGTTGGCGCCAGGGATTGTAGGCTGAACAAGTTTTTTCCTCTCACCGGACAAGTGTGGCACGCTTCATGTGGTCAGCTGTGTGAGTGTTGTGGCTGTGGGCATGGCACGGTGTTGTTGCAAATTTTGGACTCCATGGGGCGCGAATTTGTCTTGTGAAGCCCAGTGTTTTAGCTTTCTGAAAATAGGTTCCACTTTTGTATGACGCGTGTGCACCCTTTTATGTACACAAAGTGTTCTTTTGTCGCACACGTTGTACAGAGAAAGGCCTTACTCCACGCACGCCTTCAAAAATAGTTGTTTTTTTTCTATCATTTAGTGGTCCAAAAATGGATGTTTCTGCTTTTTTTCCCCCCAACATGCCAGGGCAAAGATCACACGACGTTCTTTAAACACGTGAGGCTATTTGTGAGTTGAAGCTATTAGCGAAGGGACTTCGTTGGCTGAGTTTTTATACGTATCCATTTAGGCGGTATTAGCCCTGTTTGGGTTTCTATCAAGCAACGGTATTCCAACTGCATCGATTTTCTTTTTATTGTAGTTGTTTATGTTATGCTTATTTTTTTCGAGGGGGGAGGGTGATAGACTTTAGTTTGCATCCGCAAGCTTATCACATTCATTTAGCCTGAAGTAATTAAGAGAAGCAGCTTTAGGTAACTTGAAAATGTTAGAGCACACGCGGAAGCGGGAGGAACATAAAGAGGAGAGTCTATGCAATCTAGGAACTGTTAATGGGTTTATTTTTCACGTTAAGCTTTTGTTTGTCAGAGTTCACTCTAATGTCGAGAAGCTTGGATGTGTTATTTCTGGTACTGTTATTGTTGAAGTCGAATCTTAAAGTATCTATTTAAAGCTTTTACTTTTTTATGTTAGGAGTATTAACTGGCTTCGTATTCCCTTCCACGTTTAGCGTAAGGTGGAAACATGGTCAGTTTCATGTCACAAAACCGTGGAGCATGTCTTGACCGCATGTAAAAGACGTACCCGTGACCCTTTGTTGCCGATCGTCATGGAAAATGAGTGAAAGCAGTCTTCAGTGCTTGTGCGCGCTTTATTTCTGTAGCCTTTCCAATTTCCTGAATATGGTTGCCCATCAGAAACAGTGACCATGCGTTACTGGACAGCATTAACCGAACTAATCCCTCAGATATGCGGCTTCTAGAAGCTAATGCGTGCCTCATACCCATGGTATTGTCTGGCTGTGTACTCTCTACTCCTCCGGGATCTTGTTTTCTGGGATTCATGAAGCTATACAAGCTCCCAGAGTCCACGGGGATCTCGAAGCTTGTTAGACATATTGCCGTCGCGACAGCCCCCAGCCATGTCATGCAGTTCGTGACCTAAACGGGAGGAAGCGGAAATGCAGTCGACCCAAGAGACCATAGGATTGCATGCTACCAAATCCAGACCTCGTTCCCAGCGACGCACTGGTCAGCAGCAGAGCCCAGTGCGTAAGTGTGAGCATAGCTCAGTGCATAAGGCTTTAAATATTGTTACTATTATA